ACTCAGTTCAGTATGCACACTCCGAGGTGCGCCCTAATTGGATCAGTGTAGTACCCGCACTCAGTTCAGTATGCACGCTCCGAGTACGTTTAGTAACAAAAAGTTACTAGCCACTGAAACGGAGCAAGTGCACGCCAATCGAATTTGCCATAACTCACATCAGTTATCTACAGTAGACTCTCGCTATAAGTGCTCCATTTATAAGACACCCTGAGCGCCTGCCCTCCACACGAACTTGCACGCACACACAAATTACTCCCCCTACCATGCTGCCTGCGCGGAGTCGTAGTTGCGGCGGCGGCGGCTCTGCCGTCTCCCACCATGCTCAGTATGTAGATCGACGAGTCTCGCGCCCAAAACACGTGCGGCGCAGCGGCGTGTGAATAAAAACAAACGTTTTCTACAAACGCGGCGTGCGGATAAACAATCGAATTTTCTACACGGATGTGTCAATATTTTGCTATATGATGGAGAATATAAGACCAATAAGTAAAAAACGTAAAAGCCGTAGTCCGGAGGAAAAATTAGAAATTTTAACAGAGTTAGATGCAATTAAATCGATAACAGCTATTGCCAAAAAGTATAGTGTTGATGTAAGACTAATAAAAAAATAGAAGACACAACGGGCAGAATTGGAAAAATTGCAAAGTACAAAAGTATGTAAGAAATTAAAAGTGAGACAATTACCGCTCGACCAGCTCAATGAAGCAGTTCATCGATCGCAGCGTGGTGGGGGTCTCCCGCTATAAGTTCGTTTTCCGCTCCTACAGCCCCGTAGGGTGACTAATAACGAGAGTCTACTGTATATATCTACGGCGGAGACCGAAAGAGTACGGCACGCGGTAGTAGAAGCAGCCAGAAGAGAACCTTCTACATCAACAGTTGTTGATCGTTCAGGAAGCCTTGAGTTAGAGCAGTATTTGCAATTGAAAAGGATTTCGAGAAAGGAAGATGTTTTTAGATACTGGGGAAATGTCGAAAAAACATTTCTTTTTTTAAGTCAAATTGTAGTAAAACAATTATCAATTATAGCAACAAGTGTTCCATCGAAACGTCTTTTTTCAAGAGCTAGGCTTATTAAACGGGAAAATTTCAGCAGATTAATTTGTAAACATTTAAACATGATATTATTTTTAAGCTTGTTAACTCAAGAAGAGTGGTGTGTCTTCTAAACACTTTTTATTTAACAATAGATAATTTTGAGAATCAATTTTTATTTATTTATTTAATTGTTCTGAAGTCTGTTTTTATCTTTTTAAAGTTTGTTCATTGGTTGTCTATAATAAATTTTAACCTTTTTTATGTAGTGCTTGCCCAGGCAACCAGCTGACGTTATAATGACGTTAATATAAAGTCAGTTTTTGACCAGTTCGACGTTAGTTTATGACGTGATATTAACGTAATGACGACGTGAGTTGTCTCGTCAAAAATGACGTCATGTTAATGACGTTTACTTAGGTCATTAATCTGACGTAACGTGATTAACGTGAAAAAAACTAATGGCACATCGTAAGAGGGGAATTAATTCGAGATTTCACTCAAATTAATCTTTGGAGACCTGATTCAGTTTGTCGATCAACTGATTAACTCGATGAAAGGTAT